GCTAAGTAGATAAAAAGCTTACTTTATCATTACCTTTTCACATGCTAACTTGAAACAATTTCATTGTCTTACAACTGAGCTTTTTCTAGGCAACGTTTGTCATGCCTTTTTATATTTAAATCTGCTGCTTAACATACCTCTTCTGCTGAGAATCTGTCATGACTTATCTTACATCTGAGAAAAGTTTATTCTAAAACGTTTCATCACCTCAAAACAAACCCCCAGTGGCTCATGCCCATAGTCCCAGTGCTTTGGGAGGCTGAGGCAAGAGGATTGCTGCAGCCCAGGACTTCAAGACTAAAAATAAAAACATTAGCAAGGTGTGTTGGCGCATGCATGTAGTTCCAGCTACTCAGAAGGCTGAGGTTGGAGGATCGCTGGAGGCCAGGAGGTTGAAGCTGTAGTGAGCTGAGATTGCACCACTGCACTCCATCCTGGGTGACACGAAAATGTTGCCTCAAAAAATAATTAAATGAAAATTAAGGAAAAACAGAAGACACCCCACTCATTAGGAGCTACTTCTCATCCTCCCTTCTCCCCCGTTCCTGGTGGTCTGCTGTCTGCTGTCCATAACCGTGGACATTTACGTAAATAGACTCAGGCAGGTGTGCCCTTGGTGTCTTCTGCTTTCGCTTTGTGTTCCCAGGTTCACGCATGTCGTAGCATGTATCAGTATGTGTTTGATGTTTGTCTTCTGTATATCTTCTGTCTTTTTTGTTCCTGTATTTCTCCATCACTACTTTTTTTTAACTTAAATTTCCATGATGTTTACTTTACCATACAGTGGTCCTCCCGTACCCACAGGGGATGCATTCCAAGACCCCTAAGTGGTGCCTGAAATTGTGGATGCCGTTTTTACCTGTGCATACCTGTCATCAACCTTTAACTCAGAGGAATCCCATTATGGCGTCTGCGGCACATCTGAATTGCAGTGTCACCTCTCCTGTGCTTTGGGGCCGTGACCAAGTGAAATGGGGTGACTTGAAACAAGTACTGTGATGCTGCGACAGTCGGTCTGGTCACCGAGATGCCTGTGTGTGGGCGGGTGGTGCCTGCAGCATGGGCAGTCTGGGCAGAGGGGTGACCCCCGGCCTGGCCCGCCGGATCTCAGCCAGCCATTCAGCATGGCAGGCACTTTAACACTCATGAGTTATTTCTGGAAATTTTCATACATTTTCAGAATGAGGCTGAACACAGTAACTGAAACCACAGACAAAGGGGACTGCTATATGTATTGAGCTCTTTTCTTAGCACTTGCCTTGAGCCGTACAGCGAGCACCTAACAATCTGGTTTAGATTAATACCAACTTAATTTTAAAAGTTTACAAAACTGTTTGCTATTCCCTCCTCTGCCCTTTGCGCTCAAATTGTCATACCAAGCAGGTCCTTTTTTTTTTTTTTTTTTTTTTTTTTTTTTTTTTTTTTT